GCAGGAATAAAAAGGCCACATAGCTTCATCAAGCTTGTGCTTACCAAAGGAAAGCTGTATGACAATGGTTGTTTTCGATTAGAGCCTGCTTTGCTTTCTAGCCTGTAGAAGGACACGTTTAACGTATTTTATATTAACAACTGATTCCTCGATCAATCATAGTTTCATGTTACTGTTTTATCCCATTTTGTGCTACTAATCTGATTGTCTTTCAGGAAGCTTCTCAACAACTAGAAGTTGATACTAAATCTTATCTATTTATAGGTAAAAGCTGTAGTTCCTTTGTGTTATTTCTGAATAACAACTTTTAAGCTGCTACTATTTCCTCGACAGCTTGTGAAAGTCACATGCACACAGCATTTGCAGTTCACTTTCCTATTGATCTGCCCACTGTGATACATTTATGTGGTAATGTAAAGACTGTGGCAACAGTCACATTGGTGACAAGAACTGATGGAGTCTGCATGTTAATTCAAAAATAAAAAGGAATCAAATCTCTGGTTGTGGCTAAAAATTAAAAATACTATCATATGTCTCTTCTACACCACCCACTGTCCCATTTACATTCAGACAAACCATAAAAATCCAGCTGTGCTGAAGTTTATAGAATTTAATTTATGGACAAGCAAACTTTTGTACTAAAATTGCAAATCTTTAAGCAAGCTACTAATACTTTGGTAAATGTAATTAGAAAACATAGGGGTCATCTACTTTTGCTTCTCAAATACAGAGCCTTTGAAGAAAGACGGAAGCAAGAAGAAGAAAAAGAGCAAAAACTTAGAGAACAAATTCTGCAGCAGAGGAAAATTAAACTTCAGGAAGCAACTGATAAGTTCCTGCGTGCTCATCTGCCTTTTTCTCAGCACAAGGGAATAGGTTTGTAAATTGAAATTTAACCATTATTCACAAGTACTTTTCTGTTAATAGATTGTAATTAAGGCAAACAGAACAATCAACGTCACAATTTAATTTATTAGTAAAAGCAAAACTTAACTGACAAGAAGCGCTGATCTGATACATACAACAAAAGCGGATAGAGGGAATTAATTTATTTTTTTAACTGTATTATGAGATATTTCATTACATTCCAGTCACAGTAAGTACATCACCTCCTTGGGATATTGTGGCTTCCTGGGTTTTCCTCATTTTTTTCACTGCAGTGTGCTATTGCTTACAATACTGTGCTTTCACAGCTGGGTGTGAAGTGTTACGTGGCCACTGGAAGTTACTAGGGTAGTATAATGACCCCCTGTTTGAAGCCCTGAATATGAAATATTCAGGAATCTGCATTTTGTTTATGATTAAGTAAAAGTAGTCCTAGCATATATTAATGCATTACATAACTTTTGCTGAATTAGTCAGCTTTTTAAGCTGTTGTCTCGCTGCTGGGAAGTAATGAGCACTTCAACTCAGTTCCTGCTTTCTTGGGATCAGTGCAGATTGGCAGGAGTTTTTAACAGCATCAGCCAAGTTTGATTTCCAGTCAGCTTTCCAGTGTTGAAACTCTTAAGATATGGTATATTACTTAGGTATTTTTTAACAGATTTACTCTCACAACTGCAGTTGTGCCAACTGTGAGGTAATGTCTCTGACTTCAAGATCAAATGTCAGATTAAAATAACAAACTAGAACTGTACTGGTTTAGGGCTTCTTCATAGCTCTACTGACAGCCCAGACTGAGTAGCAATGTAACGAATCACAGGTTTTTTTCTTGGTTTTCCTCTATAGCAATTCTGCCTCTGCCACTTTCTACCCTACTTTTGCTTACTTTAAAGAGTCAACATCTTGTGCCTGTCTGGACTCTTTCTTTCTCCACTGATTTGATTATTAAGTCACAATTTGGCCTCTATAAAATATCTGCAAGCCGTAAATTTGGCTTAGTGCATAAGTGGAATAATCATGATGTAAAAACAAAGTTAGTGCTGGGTTTTTTAACTGCCTACTTTTTCAACAGTTCAGTCTGAAAACAAATAGCAAAACTGTTGAATACATGTGTTACTGTAAACACTTGAATAGACTGGGATTTTGTTTCAGAGGAACTAGAGATGCTCCAGCATGTCTAATGATGCTAAACCACTCAGTTTATTGTAACAGTCTGGATTTAAGCTTCCAAACTTAAGAAACTTAACCAAACCATTTATGGTAAAATATTCCAATTTTAAAAATATTTTTTTCCATTGTGTTTTTTACTCTAATCCCTCCAGTCCAGACAAAAGCAGCTTTTCAGTTAGAAGAAGCGCTTGAACGAATTAAAGGATCAGTTTTAACACCAGGACTGTGCTTGCCCAACAGAAACAAAACCAACTTCAGGTAAGCATTTCTGTTTACTCTGATGATCAAAGGAAGTAAATTGCTTAGTGTATTCAATAAACAGCAGACAATTACTCCTTAAGAAATTATAGGTCATTTCTCTAGTGGCAAAGAAAGCATTTCTGTGAACTGTTCCAGTGAAACATTATGAAACATCCTTGAGTTGTTTGTGTTCATTTGGTAAAACAGCAGAGGAGATGGCACAAACTTTTTCCCTTCAGCAGAATTCTGGGAATAGTCCAGGCTAACCCGGTCCCCATTCAGTTAAAGCCTGACTCAGACTGCCACGATTATCAAACCATCTGCTGTTCTATGAAGTATAAAGTATTCTGTCTAGATGCAATTGAGCAAGGAAGAAATTATTGAAACAAGTGACCTCAGCATGAAAAAGGCTTAAAAGTTGAGTCCACATTGACCAACTGGCAGGTCACAAGCCAGTTAATACGGATAAGACAGCACACAAATATCTTGGAACCCACCACAGAACGTGCTGCCTCTTCCCCAGCTGGTAACTAGAAGGCTTTGGTAGGAGCCGTATGGGGTGGGTGAAGGAGGGTGTAGAGAATATTGGGGGCATGGTAATAAGAGAAAAAGAATTAACTTACTGCAGTACAGGCTTGTGTATAGGGGCAAGGTGTACAAATTAATGTGAAATAAAGCTTTGCTTATGCTAATGCCAACCATTTGCCTCCCTTCCTCATGGCAGAAAATACTCTGTGCATTTTTGTCTGCATCTCACACAATCTAAGCACTAAGCACTGAGATTCAAACTGAACATGTGCTATGCAGCATAGGTTCTTCTGGTCTGCTGCAGAAGACGTTAGTGCAGAATTGCTCCTGTTAGTTTTGGTCTGGGAGCTGTGGTTTGTGTGGGTCATAAAAGTGGCATTTCTGTGTTTTCAGACTTGGTTACAAAAATTGTGCAAAATTCTCATAGAGGGCAAATAAATTTCTTGCAAATCAATACATCCAAGTAAGCTTTGATACAGAATAGCATTTTGAGAAGGTTCTCAAAGGTGAAGGTTCTTCAAAACTCATCCGTTCTGAATTATAAAGCTTTAAAAATGTCTTATAATCCCTTTAATTGGAAGTTTTGGGACAGATAATAACTAACTCAGATGAGGCAGCAGATCCCTTTCTGTATTTCTATGTTTTCTTACACTTCTCTGAACACTCAAACCAAAAATTTTGTGTCATCTTTAGAATTCACCCTCCCTCAGAAATAGAATGTATAGAATTCATTGACAATCCCTTTTTAACAGAAGAAATGAATACTGTATTAATTATTCAAGATAAATATGGCTGCAGACCCAACTGAGTATAGGTGAATTTTATAGAGTTCTAGAATTCTTAATGTCTATGTTTAAAAAGTTGTAAAAACTTAAATGAAACAATGGAGACATATTACCTCCTCTTGGAAAAAGGCAAAAATCCTGGAACACCTAATGAGTGAGAGATTGTATTGTGTGCTTGAAGCAGAGCTACTCTGCTTTTCGTAAGGTTTAGTTATTAAATGCTGAAGCAAAGATTTTGGTGAACTCATTAGCCAACAGGGATTGGGATGTGTGCACATTAGGTGTATAAATGGTGTGCTGCTCTTTGTACACAATATATTTCTCTGCTTATGTTTAAAACCAGCTGTATTTTATTAGGTTCAGCCATGGGACAGAAACTTAATTATGACAAATCAAAAATGTGCTCTGAAAAAAGTTGGAGTGTAGAAACTTTTATAAATATAAATGGTCTAAACAACCAAATAGACATGAAGAAATTTCCTCTGCCAAAAAAAACCCAACCAACCAACCAAACAAAAAACCCAAACACATTTTTTGGGGGGTCAGGTGTATATCAGTCTGATCCACAAAACAATAATGAAGTCTTTAAAAGTGGATAGGTACAGAAAGTTTTTGGATAGGGAGGATATCTCCCATTCAGAATAATACAAAATGAAGTTTTCTGAGTTCTATAAATAAATATGAGACGTTTTTCTCCCTTTTTGCTATCAGCCATCTTGGCAGAAATAATAAATGCCTTTTTAGACTCTGCTATATGTCTCTGCTTAGTTCAGGGTATTGTATAACATCTTCTTAAAAATCATAGTAGTCTTGATGCGATTAAAGTTTCCATTTTCTATTGTCCTAATATCCACCTTGGATCAAGCCAGACTGAGGGCATTTAGGGCCCTTGAACTAGTTTGCAGCCAAAAGACAGAGTCAGTGTCCATCGCTAAACTTTTCCACCTAGGCAGTCAGGCAACCAATTCAAGTAGTCAAGCATAGCTGGCAACCTTGCAATAGCTGTATTTCCAGAAGACTAAAACTGATCAGCCTATGAGCTGGTGGGCTTTGGGGTATGCTTATTTTGGGGTTTTTTGTTAATGCCTACCTTTCTTATTGGTTAAAGCTACTTATTTTTTGGTTTTGTCATCCTTGATATCTACCTAGTTCTTGACTCTTGTTTTCCAAAACTTGGTTCCTATTCCTAGAGATTTTAGGCAGCCTTGATCCAGTTTTGTCTGCTTTTTATTCTTGAACATATCTTTTTACACACCCCCTGCTTTCCTAGTCTCTGCACATTTGCCTTGTCATTTGGCTTCACGTGTTTCTTGGCTTCTTTAATTCCTGGGTGTCAACCAGCCCCATGGTTCTTGCTAATTCTCATCCTGTAGAAACCAGTGGTTTTCTCTATCTTAGTTTGTGCTTGCCCTCACCATGGTACCCAGCTACACTAGCTACTCTGAAGATTTTTTTCTTTTCATGTAGCAAATATAAATTTCCCATATTGCTGACATTACACCTCATCAATAGAGTTGGGATCTCTAGATACTACAAAGCCTTCTTGCTATTTGAAGTAAGGGAATATCTGGCAGTATCACTATGTAGTTATCCTCTATAGAAGCCAACCTTATGGAAAAATAAAGACCATTTTGCTTTTTTTAAAAAAAACCCCTCTGTGTTCCATTTCTGTAAATGACCAAACCGTTGGCTGACATTTTCCAGATTAATTCAGCCTGAGGCAGCCACCCAACAACTCAATCAGAAAAGTCTGACTATTTATAAATAACAGAAGAGAATGTTTAAAATGGAAAGTGTTGGACAGTTTTAGACAGTACTAACAGCATCACCTGTAGTTACATATAGTATAACTGTCCTTCACTTGCCAGGCATTTACTGATGAAGTATACTCTTGGAAAGGAACATGTTTAAAAGTGTACAGTTGATGCATAGAAATAAGCCAAAGTAATAAGTTATTTGCTTGCATCAAGAACCACAGATGACACTTCATCCTCATCAGCATCTAGAAACAGTTCTTTCCATCAGAAGCAGATTTCAGCAGTGGTTGACTGGGATAAAACAATAAAAGAGAAGAGTAGAACAAACACAGATACTAACCAACTTCTCCAGAAAAATCTGAAAGAAATGCAACAACTTCTTGAAAAACAGCATCTCAGCAACTTGGAGGTATGATATTTTCATGTGATTCATTAAATTATGCTTCTTAAAGGTACTAGAAAGTTTCTTGAATGTGATAAAAATGGAAATTCTGTTAAGCACACTTTACCAAGTAGACAACACCTGAGGGCATGCTGCACTGTGCCTTACCAATAGATTATTTATAGGAAAATTCTACATATTTTTTTAATAAGAAATCAGAGATCTTTAAAAATGTTTGTAAGAATATTTTCACTAATTCTTCAAAGATACGTGTCACATTGTCTTTCTGTTTGTGAAAGTAAGATTTGTATGTCAGACTTCCTGGCTCTGAAGTAGCTAACCATTAGTCTATCACAGGAGTCTTGTGCTAGCTCCAAACTTAAATTGAGGGCTTGCATTTCACACTTAAGTTTCTGCTTTGCTGATTGCTACAGCTCAGCACAAAATGCTATAGCAGTGTAATTATGGTAGGTCAAATGTTGGGGGGAGGTTTGTTTCTTGGATTTTTTTCCCCCATGTGTGATGATTTCTTAGGGATTGACTTCAAGTCTTTTGAGATCCTTTTTTGTCATGTTTGGAATAAATGCAGGTGTTCCAGTAACAAGCCCATTAACTTTCTCCCTAAATTAATTTTTTGATCCAAAATCAGTTTCAAAAGTCACCTTAGAAACAGTGAAAATCAAGAAGAACTAAGCTACAAAATTATTTCTTACAACTGCACTTTAAAGTGTAATTTTAGGAATGTCAGTGTGGTCTTTGATTTTGGAAACATTGTCTTCAATATTAATTTTTTTTTAAACATGAGGACATAATTATGGACTCATTCTTTTATTTTATAATATTATTTACTGGTGTGTGGACTCGTGGTGTCTGAAATGACCTTGACACTATGAAGCACTGTCCCTTTATATTGGTGATGGCTAGAGGCATGGGATCATTGGTGACAATAGAGCAAGGGTTTTTCCTTTTTGTACATCTGTATGGATCACTTTTGAAAGACTGTACACAGTTCAGATATATTTTGAGTTCTTTGATATTGGTGTTTTCAGGCACATTCCTCTCAGTCTTTGTACCTCCTTTGTTCTGATGGGTATTCATGAGAATCTTGAGCAGCTGATGGCTAACACAGAAAAACTCAACTGGGGTACACCTCAAAAAGGTTGAGGAGACAGAAAGTACAGTTTGTACTGGCATGGTTGTTGAATGGTTTTATTTCCAAGCATAAAAGAAGGAAGAGCAAATGGCAATTTATAGACGACAGCTGACAAAACTGAATTCTAGATAACCACTTTTGAACAAAATGCAAATAGATCTAAGCTTTTTTAAAGTTTTTCTTATCACCACATTGTGCATTTCATTGGTATAGTCTTTGCAAATCCCTCCATAAATAATGGTGATGAATTTGGGAGTAGCCACATTAGGACATCTTAGAATTAGGAAAAAAAATACAATCTTTTTGAGAAAAATCTATTAAAAGATTCTTCTTAATATATCGTACGACAACTGTGTTGTAGTGTATTTTGTCAAACACAATTATCACATTTTATTTGAATTCTAGGGGAAAATCACCACGAGTCATGCAGGATTTTTTACTTATAGCTTTTTCTAGATGTTATTATCAGCTTTGGTCACTGCATATAATACAGGGATTTGTGTTTACAAATTAATGTATTTTTGAAAATGCTCTGGTCCTGTAAAAGATTTTGCTTTTTTTTTTTTTTCAGAATGTATTTTTCTGCTACCACTAGGGGTTGCTCAGCTTCTTCCCTCTAAATAGCTTCAAATTATTAATATTTATACTTCAAACATTTGGACTTGAATTTCTTGAAATTGCATGCTTTGGACTCTGATTCGAAAAATAATCAAGAAAGTTATTGTCATTGTTCTGAGGCCTGAGTGTTGGAAATTTAATACTGGGATTGTGCTGGTGTGCATAGGCATTGTGACTTCCCTTGATGTGAAATAGTACTTATAATACTCTTACTAATAAAATTTATAATTTATAATTATTTATAATACTCTTACTGACATGAATAGGCTTCAGTAGACTTATTCTGTTGTCCAAAGTTACTTCAACAGTGTTTGCCTTTCTGAAACTATTGTCAAAGTATTTCACTGTGCACATGCTTTGCAGTCTAAGCATCCATTGAGATCCCTTGACCTCTCTTTGTTTCTGTTTTTACAGGCCCAGCAGGATTATAAAGATTCCTAAAATTCTTTTCTTTCCTACAGGGTAATAAAGTTCTATCTAGGCTCTTACCAATAGATTTGGTGTGTTCCCTTCTTCCCATGCCTAAAAATTTCTATAGTTTCAGCAGTAAACCAAGGTTTTTAGTGACACTTCTACCATTCTCAAAAATTATTTTACTTAAAGGATGGAGAGCAGTCGATTTTATTTTGTGCAACAGTTATGTCTGAGACAGTACATCAAATTATTAATTGTTATATGTCCATAAATATGTTCCATTCTGAAGAAATTAATATTGTGAACTTCATTCACAATCAAAGGTTTAGTTTTACAGTCCTTTCCTGGTTTTGTTGCAGGCATAAATAGAATCTTTAAGGTGGAGCTGGTACATGGTCTTTAGCTAAAGCTGCATGCAGCTCTTCACCAAAAGACATTACTCACAAGTGTTTATAATTTTTCCAAAAGTTAACTGTTTATGTTGAAATTTTCCATTTCTGGCACCTGCTTTGAACTCAATAATTTAGAAAATTGCCATTAAAAATAGCTCAACTGTGACATGGAATAGTATTATTGATATAATCTTTTGTCTTTTTCTTTTCACCATCTCTTCAATTTGGTGGCCATACAGAATTGTTTTATTCAGTACAATATTTTATGCTCTTCCAGAAAAATACATTATACTTGAATTAAACTGTTTGATTGACATAACATTTTATATCTATTTTTTTACTTTTTAAACAAAATACTTGGAAGCAAGAGCTAATTCACAGACAAAATAGGTATAGATTACAACATGGAGACTGTATTTTCATCTTAGCTCCTTTTTATGATCATAATTAGATTATTGAAGTGGTTTCTGTGAAATCAAAATTTTAATCCCTTTCTGATTTGAAACAGGAATTTTACCTTGGCTGTCCTTTTTTTGCAAACATACCATGCAGCCACTGAAGTACTCAGTATCAGTCTTTCTATAGATACTGTTCCCCTTGGCAAAAAATTCTTCAATATTTATTGAAACAGGGACTGGAACACAGGTAACATTTCTGAGAAATTGCAACCTAAGCCATGAGGTCAGAGAGTCCTTATTACATTATCTCAAATACAATAGATTTTTTTAGCCTGTGTGTTTATGTATGTTACATACAGAATTAAGTCTCTGAGTAATAATGAAGAATATTTTCTCAGTGATGTTCCACTGAATGAAAGCAACAGATGCTGCAAACATATAGATATGGACATAGCCCTGCTTTCATGAGGGACCTGACCTGTATGACTGTTAGCTGTTTGTGTTACTATACTTTTGTGTCTATGAAATGGAGATGTTTCTGATTACTGATGGAAAAACTGAATTCATTGTCAAGTGCATTTGTAGTATGACTGGAACGAGTTAGTTAAACAAGAGTTCCTTCTGCAAGGTGTTTAGTGTCAGTCTAACTCTTCATAGGCAAGACCAGCATGGAAAAAAGGAGTGCCCATGTACAAAGTCTCTCCCAAGTGTCAAGCACTTGCAGAATGCTCAGGGCTGGTTAGTGGGAAAACGCTTTGAAGTGGAGGATCAAGATAAAATAGTGTTGGAACTGAAGTCAGACTTGATTGTGAAGAGATCATTCAAAGACTTGTAATCTAGAATTGTTGGCCATTTTTTACTTATAACTGAATGCTAATATCTCTTATGTTGATCACTTAAGTTATATGACAAACTCGAGTGATTTCCCTACTCATTTTCCTTTTGGCAAGATTTAGATTTTCCTAATACAAATCCACCTTCTGCCCCAGTTGCTGCTGTGCAGTGCACAAGGTAGAGTGGAAACATGTTAAAAACTATCCCATCTTCGCATTGTATTTACATTGCTAGAAGGAAAAGGAATGCTTTGAATAGACTGCAAAAATATATACTAATTTTTTAGCAAGCCAAAGAGATCTGGTAAGATATTCCTTCAGTTGAACTATGGGTTATTTTAAAAATTATATTTACAGACAGTATGGTTGTGTGTATTTTAAGAGGTGTGTACTGATCAAATAGTATTAATAATTTTTTTCTCTACAACTCCACTTCATTCAAATCTGTGAACCCTGATGTCTTGCCTTATTTGTGTACTTTTGAATAAGAATAAACCAGGAAGACAGATTCAGAGTTTTCTAGAAGACGAAGAAATACTTTCCTCCATCAGTTATTCTTCTCTTCTTTCCCCATAAATACAACTTTGGTGGTAAGCTTTTCTAAAAAGGATTATTTCGGGGCTTTGAGTCTTACCATCAAGACCTTAACAATCATGGAGAGAGAGGATAATTTCTCTGCTTTAAAAAAGGGAAAAAATCTCCGAGAACTGTTTTCCTTTTGTTTCTGTCTCTGAAGTATTGTCTAGAAATCACTTCATCAACAAAATATTTTTACAACATCATTTCTCCTACTACCTGAAATTCCAGGGAAGTGAAAATGGATAAAGTTTTACCTGATGTCCATTCTTCTTTTTTAGGATAACCAAAATCACATTGAATATAACATAGATTGTAAATAATTATGAATTTGCTCATTAAATTATGTCATTACATTTTATATATAACATTAAAATGATTATTAGTTAAGTAGTTAAGAACTTCTAGAATTAATATTGAATATGCATGCCCTATTTTTCTCCATGTCTGTTTGCCTTATGATGGCTTTCAATTATGCAGTCCCATACTATTTTTACATCACCTCATCTCTTAAATTTGCAGGGTAGATGATGATGCCTACTCAAAATAAATTTATTAATGGGTTGGAAAAAAAAAAGGGGGACTAATGCATTGTGGTGCTCAGTGCCTCAATATTTAATCCATTAATAATTTTAATAGTATTTAAAAACTAGCATTATGGATTCCACTTCTGGATCTGAATGACTAGGTTAGTCTGTGAGAGAGTTAGGCACCTGGAGTAGAGATCCTGAGAGCAGCCCTCTGAGTACTGAGATGCTAAATTAATTAATAGAAAGCAACAGAGAGCAACATTTACCTGAAAACTTGTTTCCTACACAGTTGTGTAAATTTACCTTGGGACTTCATTGAACCTGGAAGTCAGAACTTGAAACCCTGACATTCAGGTTCAGATCACTCTTCTTGAAACGTCCTTCAGTTCAGTACGGCTTACTGAAGCGCCTGAGTGCCTACAAAATTGGAAACTTTAGTTCTTTTTATCCCATGGAGTTTTAACCCGTGTTTCTAGCATCTTGTGATGATTTTCCAAACAGGTAAATGAGGTCCTTCAAAATACTCAGGTTCATAGATAGCTGGTTTCTGTATTCTGGATAGCTTGGGGGAAAATTAGGCACCTAAGAGTTAGCCTAGGAAAGACAGGGGTGTTGATAGGAAGCTTTTCTCTGGTCATCCTACACCTCCATAGCTTCTATGGTGGGTTTGGCACATATAATGGATCTCTTGTGTAACGTAAGCAACAAAATCCTGCCTCAGTGGCATCTGCTTTCTTGGATCTGCCCAAATCTTCTGTGAAATCAGTATTGTGGGGTGACATGTACTTGCATAGAAAAGAAATGATTAATTTTCTAATGGACTTTCCCATTCCATAGTTGGTAAACTCCAAACCAGTAAAGGTGTTTAGGCACCTCACTGGCTTTGAGAAGTAGCTTTGCATCTGCATGAACATTGGTGTCTTTTACTTCACAATGCATGTGAACTATAACGTTACCTATACACACATATAACACACAAAGAACTCCTGTGAATAAACCAGTTGAAATTATCAAAACCAGCAAGTACTGTGAGAGGTGAGGGGCTTTGGTTTTCAGATTAGGTAGCATTTTTCCAGCATTTATCTTCAGAAGAGTGTTCCCATTCACCTCTTGGAATTATGAACAGTCAGCACTTCTTTTGCAGAAAATGTCAAATACACATATAGCAGCTCTTCAGTGTAACAGCGTTCTGACAGAGTCCTCTGGCAGAAAATTCACTTGTCAGGTTCTCTTAAAATTTTACTTGTTGCAATGTTGTTCTTTCATTACCCTCATGAAAGATTTCTTAGGCTCTTGTTTTCTCTTTGTTTTATTGCTTTACTGAAATGTAGTTGCTTGACACAGCTGTTCGAAGTCTTAAGACATACGAGTGACCTCTTTAACTCCTCCTAAGTGTTCCCTTTCCTAGAATACCAAATATGTGGACAGGCTGGGTTTAAATTTCATGCATTAGGACATAAGATAATGCAGGCAACAGGCAATACAATAAATTGTACTTATATGACAGAAACAATATGCAAGCACATAAAAAGCTAGTGCACTCTATGAACATTTTTATTTCATAGAATATTACATCATACTGTAATATTCTCACAGATACAATCAAATTAAATCATTGGGATTTCCAGGTTTATTTCTCTGTAGCTATTGACCACCAAAAACGAACGAATAATTTGTTGAATGCTTTTTGAGGACTGCATAAGTAGTTACAGTTATATATTTTTACCAGAAAATGTGACATTCACTTTCATTACAGACTAGGCTAGAAAAGTAAATAAAATATGTAAATATTTTAATGAGAATGATAAACATCTTTAATGTGTGATGAAACGGTATGATGCAACAAAATAAATGTAAATTAACTAAATTTGCATGAACTCAGTAAAAGTGGGTATGTATTTAAGTGAGGAATCCTTCTTTATTCTTTAGTTCCTAACTTATTTCTGGAGGTTGCCTCAACTGAGATTTTGTGCTCCCGTGAGGTTTTGTTTTCACAAGGAGAGTAAGATGCAGGATCAAGTCTATTTTCAACCTTTATAGCACAACTGGGTAGATTTTTTTTTTTATCTTAGTTTTTAAAAGTTGCAACTTTTCTTGCACCCTCCAGATTTACCAATTTAAGCTAACCTGCTGTCAGAACAGGTTTTTAAAAATCAATCCTTACAAATTTTTTCCTCTATTTAACTTGCTCATTTTAGAAACATGTGTTTAGCTATACAGGTGCAGTTTCCAGATTAGACAAGAAGTAAGCCTGACACCTATCGTTTCTTTTTACTGTTTTTTTCTTCCTATCTGAATATTTCAAAGTTATTCCTTAAATTTGGCCTGGTACAGAAAACTCTGAGCAAATGCCTTTTTCTTGTTTGTTGAAGTTCAACCAGAGGTTAACAATATAATTTAGCCAAACATAAAGGTTAATAAATAACTAACAAAGCATTATTTATTCCTTTCTATTAGAAAGACACCAGTTTGTATAGCTCTAGTTTGAAAATGTTCCCTAGAGGGATCTTTCCGTACACTCAGTGCTTTGTTCTTCTGTTTAGATTCTCTATCTCAGATCATAACTACAATGGAAGACTGCACCAAGCTCTGAAGATTTAGTGCAAGATTTAATTCAATCATAAAAGGTCTTTCAGGACTCACTAAGCTTTTTAATCAGCAATTTAAAATATTAGTACAGCTATAAACTATGCAATATTATGGTATAACCATTTTATTAGAATTTTTGAAAGGTTTACTACAAAAATATGTTCTTATTCACTAATTAATTTTATGCATTCTTTGGTAAGTTTTCCAAATGTTAATTCTATTGTAATTGCCAGGGGATATAAAATCACTCACTTAGGTTAACTTATTTTGCTACTTGAAACATTTTCCATTTAAAGTCACTAATGAAAAAAAAACCTTCATTGCCTAAGATTGCATGTCTAATGCAGCTTCTCTCTTAGTTTTTTCACACCAATTTTTTCCAACCTATGGTTTAAAGTCACTTAGCTGCTGAGTTGGGTAGAACTGATCTTAACAGCAGAGAGAGAGAATACAAGATTATAAAAATAGTTTATATGCTTGTTTTCCTTTAAATGTATCTGTATTTTGAAATTTTGTTCTTAGAAATGTATGTATTTTCCACCATGTCAGGCATCTCAGTGTTTGGATAGAGATGTAATAGTGAAGAAAATGCCTGTGTAGTTCATATATAAAGTTGTCCCAGTGGTGATTCGGATGGTGCCAGCTGCTCTTATTCATCACCACATTAAAGTTCAACCAAGAAGTCGGGGGGTAGATGGGATTGCCATATGCCCTTAGACCTGATCTGTCCTCATAGATCAGATGATATTTTCTTCTTTCTGAAAGATGAGAAGAGGGGATTTCGCTGGGGGGAGGTGTTAATCACTGTGATGATGACAGCTGAGAGATGTTTTCTGTGTTTGCCATGACAAGGTTTAAATCCTCATCACTTGTGGCACTTTGTATGAAAATAAACATATTCAGTCTAGTATTATGGAAAAAATGCAGTTTGTGGCAGATCCACTTTCAAATCTGCATTTTTATGGATTCTCTTTCATTTTGTGAACTCCCTTCCATGTTAGAGTACAAAAACCACCCTGTGCCATACGGCACTCCAGAAGCAGTAATGTTGTTTAGACCAATCTTCTTCCTTTTTTGATATTGTCCAATTTATATAAAATTTAGGATTAAATTTGCTGCAGCTCTTTCCTCTGTGTTTCATGCCCAAACCACAGCATTTTCTTTTGCAATTGAACACAGGTAAATTTTGACTTGATGGAAACACTTCTGGTGCTACAACCCCAAGTTGTAAAAACACCAAGCTAAATATTGATTGTATTTTAGCCTAGGCTCTTATTAATGAAAAATTAGTATCAGAAAAAAAAAATCTGATAAATGTAACAGTCTGATTTTATGCCTGTATTTCAGCATTTTCATCAAGAAGTCAAGAAAACAGATGATTCAGAAAGCTTGTCAAGCCTTGACAGTCTTGAGGCTGGAGAACAAAATGGAAATTACACAACACCGAGTGAATCATCTTTGACTACACAGTGTGACTGTGCCCTGTACAATCCAGAAAAATCACAGACTAGGAATAATGGTTTGCTTTATACAGCTCAGAGTACTTCTTCTAAAAATATGCATCTAAATAATTGTCTGAGAAATGTAGATTCACAAAACAACCACAACTTACCTATTCATGATCTTTTAGCTAAACATAATGTTCTAACTCATCCTGAACATGTAAACAATTCAGAAGAGGAATCATCTGCTTCTCACAGAACTGGAAAAAAACCTGCAGAGTTCTCTGCCTCTGGTAAGCAAGAAAGTGATGCTTTTAGTTTTCTGCAAAATATAAAAGAAGAAAGAAGCAAGCTGCCTTCTGGAATGGCTAGCACATTGGCCACTGGTCACCCTGTTTCCAGTCCTAGCAAAGCCTGGGCCAGCCCTGACTCTATTCCAGGAGAAAAAGTTCAGGATCTGATGCAAGATCAGAGTTTTAAAATGACCCCACAAAAAAGAACTGCATCTGTGCAAACCTCCAGTCAATTTATTGCAACATCTATAATCTCATTTCCTAATCAAGGACGTTCCACTTGCCTTCCCAGCACAGCTGATACATTACAAAAGGACAAAAACATCAGTATGAAGTTTTTAAAAAATACCTCAGGAAAAATGACTGAAACAAAAGAAGAAAATATTAAATGTATTGCTGACCTTAATCCAGGATCACGTTTATTTCAGGATATACCCAACGCCTCAGTTCTGCGCAATGTTAACCAACAGAATAACAAAGAGGAAGAAAAGGGAAATATGGTGGAAACTATGTCACTGCTGTCTGATACAGAGCTAAATTCTGGCATTTTTTTTTCCTGCACAGTGCAACACCCTGAAAAACAATATTCTTGAAAGAAAAAGAGCAAGATTATTCACAGGTATCTTAAAGGACTCTAAATATGAACCCAGTCATTTCAAATCTGTGATTATGAACCATGGGATCAGTTTTGGCACTCTACCTTTGTCATCTATCAGAGACAGTTTGGAACTGGCAAAAATAAAGAAGAAAAGTGTAGAAAATGAAAAATACAATAGAAAGTTAAGATGGTGTGATCAAATTAACCAGATAATAATAGAAAATAATGATAAATGCTATGAAAAAAACACCAGTGAAATATTTTCTGCACAGCTGCAGTATGTCCAAACTACAGATAATGCTCCTAAGACGAATTTAAGTATTATTGCTCAACCTTCAAACCCCATGTTCATAAAAAATCATCATGAAAACTCTCATATATCAAAACCAAATGTTAAAACTGAAGAATCAAATAAAGAATGCACATCTCTGAATATATTTATGCCTACTGGATCTTTTTCTGCTAAAAAAGCTTGGATGGTATCAAAAGATGAAGAAAGTAAACCCCCAGTATGTAGCAATAATTCTAAAATTAATGAAGTTAATCAACTCAAAAATAAGGCAAAAATAACTATAAGACCAAGATCTGTAAGATCCCAGCCAAGTCTTATACCCAGGAAGAGAACAGGCACTATAATCCGACCACAGTCGACCACTGAAGCCACCAAAACCCTAAAAGCTCCAGGGAAGTTGCTAGCACCTCACCCACCACCTGCACCTCTTCCAGGAAACAGAAGTGGTGAAAACGCAGCCAGCCCTGGGTGGCAGCCACCCCCGCCTTCAAGTCTTCAAGCTGTCACTACAAGCAGGAATTTTTTTTTTATGATTTAAATGAAAGGCCTATTTTGTTAGCAGATCGGGTTTTCAATAGAAACTGTACAGAAAAGAGTGAGGGTGTTACTTGTCATTCGGACTTGGCCACTGCAATGCCTACATCTGGCTGCAGCACGGACCAATACGAACCTTGGGCAAGAAGTACTTGTTCTGTAAATGGTGTTCAGACAAGTGCCTGTCAAGATCATTCAGTGACCTGCACTGGAAGGAGACCTGTTAACACAGAAAATGGATTACATCTCCATCATTCCCCAACAGCTGGAAAAAAATGTACCTCGTGGCAAGCAGCTCATACTGCCCGAGCTCCAAAAGTCTCTGCTACTGGTAAGAGTCATATTTCTGGGTTTAGGATGGGGGGATGTTCAGAAGAAAGTCTTTTTCAGTTACATCACAACTTTGTTTTCAGTTAAAACATCCAGCCTTTCATCCGTGCACACAATACAGCCAGTTTTAACAAGCTTTCACCATTTGTCATTGTCATTTCTATTCTAGCAGTGCCCAGAGGCCTCTCAAATGTTGATCCCCGTTTTTAATACCTCTCTACACTATTAAATGAAAAGGAACTCTTTTCCCTGATACTATATTCCTGATTAATGAGCAGATGTGGCAGGTGGTCAAAATAATTATATAGGAGGAAGTGACTAAGTTTATATGAGCAAGTTTTACAAGGTAACTGGGAGTCATAGCTTGTTGTCCAACAATCACTGCCACCTGAGTGTGAAAGAAATTTAGTTCTACCATGTTTTTAAACTGCTGACACTGTAAATTTCTAAAATAATTGGTTTAGTCCCAGTAATACAATTAATCCTTAAAAAAAAAAAAAAAAAAAAAAAAAAAAAGCTTCTACTGGATAAATTTTGCTGTGCTGTAAAATATGTCTGATTTATGAAGAATTTTAAGAAATTTTAGGACAAATCCTGCATTTTATTAAAAATTAACCTTGGGGACAATATGGTGCAGTGATTGATTATTAAGATAGAGGAAAGATGCATAAGAAATTTGGGAGAATAAACTTTAACCTCCTGGCTTTTACATTTCAAAACATGTTTCATGTTTTTTGATTTGCTTTGTTTCTCCCCTGCAGCTTAGCTACGTTCTGTGCCTTGGGCACTGATGGCATCCTTGTGCTTTTAATTTGTATGTTGTGTGCTGGTTTGCTTCCTAGTGAGGGCTGCAGCTGGAGGCAGAGCTCCTGAAGCTGTAAACCCAAACCACTTAATGTACTGGGATCACCCCGAGGATCAGCTGTGCAGCTCAAAGACACTTTCTAGCAAAATAAGTAATTCTCATCACTTAAAAACCTAAATTTCTAGTTTTATCTACAGTAATACATAGTTTTAATTATGGAGTGATTCAGAACACCTCTGTTGTGTAAGAGTAAAGGTAGGTGAATATTCTTGGCCTCAAGCAAGGGTGGGAAATAAGAAATGTTATCTGCTTGTCCATTCCAGTTCAAAGTCAAACAGATGAGCTTGAGATATGTGTGACTTAAGTTAACCTGTTTGGTTTTACATTGGAAATGGAGTCTTGCATTCATGTACTTAGCCTCCAGCAGAGATACTTGCCTCTTGATGTCCTTATTTGCACATCAGATCAATGAATCAGGAAATTCACTGGTCCAAAGTTGCATGCCCTGCTAATACTGTCTTAACTGCAGCTTTAAAGGCTACATTCCCAGTGTCACATAGCTCCAGCTCTTTTAGAGGAAGAGCTGAGTAGCCACTTTTAAAATTTGTCCCTTTTAAAATGTGTCCCTCTCTCAGTATCTGCTTAGATTTTGTGTTTTTAAAGTCTTCTTTATTTTAAATACTCAAGATAACTCTTAATGACATGCCAGTATTTGTTCTACTGCATGTAAGTGTACATAGATGACCATAGTCTTTGTTCTGAAGTGCTTGCTATGCCAGTCTGAATATTGCATTGTTCTTGAGTAAAATACCTACTGTGGCACTATTACAGAGCTCAATAAGGCCTGTGAGGACATTGTAGAAAATATGATTTGTTGCAGTGCTTGGCCAAATGTATGCTACAGAAAGAATGAGTGAGAACAAGATGAATAAATAAAATTGTTGTCCATGAGGATCTCCCTTTAATTTGGCTTCCAGGCTCCAAGTGGTATATCTTCTGGCTGACATATATCATCCTCTGTAGCTGGATATTAGAATTATTTTAAGTCTTTTGGTGTTCAGTCAGTAAAATGCTTTAAAACATGTGTAACATTTAGCCTGTGACAAATACAGGGCTCATTCACAAGCTTATAGTTAAACAGGGGTAGACTGTTTATCTCAGTGTCTCATTAAAGAGACTATTGTTTATTACATTTTTGTCTTAAATTTCCCAAAGAAGTCTTTTCTTTGGCATAGATCTAGCATGCCTTGCAAACTAATCAAATTAAATGTTGATGCATATCAATAGGGCAACTTTGGATTTTATTTTTCAGAAAAACATTGTGTGATTACTAATGCAACAAGAGGTTTTCTTCTTTGCTTCTTTTTAAATTTCCCCCCATATTCAATGTAACATGATGACGTTTCCTTTTCTTTCCAGGTGCTATTCAGCACCATGTGTCACATTGCAATAATTCACATATAACTAAATGGCAGCCTTTCAAAGCTGATGTGTCCCATGTCACTGTTGATGGCAACAGCCAGATGAGTAGTTTCAAATCTGCTTCTAGGATCAATGAATTGTTTTCTTTTTCTGCAAATGGTAAGAATTCTGCTTTGTTAGCTATCACTGTAATAACAACTAAAGAAATACAATTCTGTTAAAAGCACTAAAAGACCTCTTGGTCTAATCATGAACTCTACATTAAACTGCCTATGTAAATATTTATTATGTAAATAAATGGGTAATGGATATGTAGATTCCTGACTTGCACATGAAAATACTGATTTGCATCTCCAGTTTGTATGCCTGAAAGTTTAATTAAGAAATTAATTTAAATTTTGAAACTTGATGCTTTAATTTTGAAAATGTATTATTACACCCGACAAAACTGAGAAAAATTTGAGGTACAGTGCCTAGGTTAGGCCTCTCTAGCCGAGGGAAAATGCTATATAGCAGTACTGTCTTAACTAAAATTAGTATACAGTTGTATTAATTAATAAGATTAACTACAAAATCCCAAGCTGTAGATTTAAGGTTTTAACCCATGACTTTACATTCAAATCACACCTGTGAAGCCACACCTGGGGGACTGTGTCCAGCGCTGGTCTCCTCAATGCAAGAGAGACATGGACAAACTGGAGAGAGTCCAGCAAAGGGCCATGAAGGTGATGAAGGGACTGGAGCATCTCTCCTATGAGGAAAGGCTGGGAGAGCTGGGACTGTTCAGCTGGAGAAGGGTCAGGGCAATCTCAGGAATGTCTATAAATACCTGGAGGGAGGAAACATTAGGAAACACTGTGAGGGTGACAAAGCACTGGAACAGGTTGCTCACAGAGGTTGTGAAGTCACTCTCCTTGGAGATATTCAGAAGCAATCTGGATGTCATCCTGGTATCCAGCTCTAGGTGGCCCTTCTGTAGCAGGAGGTTGGACCAGGTGACCTCGAGAGGTCCCTTCCAACCTCAATCACCCTGTGATTCTGTGAATCAAATAAACCATGTGAACAATTACGTATTTTCTGCATGGCACTATGTACTCTTCAAGGTCAAGTTGGATGGCTCTGAGCACCCTGATCTACTTGAAGATGTCCCTGCTTGTTGCAGGGGGGTTGGACTAGATGACCTTTAAAGGTCCCTTACAACCCAAAACATTCTAGGATTCTGTGATACTCTTAACAAATGTTGATTCTATTAAGATACAAAATACAGCACCCTGGCAACAGACATTTACCGTGTTGGACAACCAGACTTTGGGATAATTCTCTAAATGCAAATGATTTTCTAAAACATTACTTTTTGGCACATTATTTGGTATTGGTTATCTCATAGCTCACTGTCTGTTCATCCTCCCTCTTGCTTTGTAAGACCACCTTGTAACTTTGTACAGACCACCTTTGTTAACTGGGATTCAAAGTGCAGCTTCACTTAACCTGCTTATAAATGTCTACATACCATCCACATCTGGATTTTATAGTCCTGTCCTACTGTGAAATTAAACATGCATTAGGAGTGCCTCTTTCTCTCTTTTCATTATAACAAAATACATTTAGTGAGATCAGATGTAAACATACACAAGGTAAACTTTTGAATTTGGACAGAGACCTTTACTCACCATTACTAGTTTTGCTACTAGTAGCTTTACAAGGTTTTCATAGATTTTTTGGTTTATTTTTGGATGCATCTCATTTAAGGTGGTGTTCCTGTTAGAAGACAAAAGCAAGATTTTGACAATGGTGAAAATGAGCAGATTTCAGAACACAGAAGGCAAATTATAGCCTCTAAAAGATGGAAGCCTACTTATCGTGCACAGGTAAATATTAAATACTATTTTTAAAAAAGCTTATTTATCCTCGAAATGGAAGGATTTTTAAGAATATAAAAAATTGTTCAGTGTCACCACATTTTGAATCAATGCGCTTGGCCAGCTTGCTGCCACTGCTAAGGAAAATCATAAAACCAACTAGACTACCTCTACTGTGTTAGTACACACTATTTCTCTTGCACTTGAAAACATTCAGTAATATGAAATAACAAATAAAGATGTTCAGGAAGTACTATAGTTACCTTAAATCACACTTTAAATATTCTTATAATGTTTTTGTTAGAATTTGTTACGTGCTGTCCAGCTGAGTCCTGTTCAATCTGCATTTGATCCAGTACGAAATACGAGTAACACCTCTAAGTCTGACGAAGGTAGAGTAACACATCTCACTTCAATTCTTTGTTATACATAAAGTAGTGACCTCATCAATCCACTGCGTAGCATAACTTCTCTCTTTGGCATCAGTGATTCTAAGTTGTGTAGACCTAATTTTTTTTTTTCACAGAAGTATAAGATAGCATTTTGTGTCATGATATTGATGGTTTATAAATGCATTACAACGTATAGTCAAGTTTCATTCCATTCCTGTTTGTGTTGGACTGTATGGTGGGTGTGTGTGCCATACATAACTGTACGATATGGACAGGTATTGCTTGCTATCATATTTCCAAAGTAGAAACTTGCTGTGGTGCCGATCATAAGATGCCTCAGTGATCTTAATTATGTCATTTTCTAATGCTTCTTGACTTTGACAATTTTTTGCTCTTTTAATGTGAATTTTGTGTATTTCCCAGACCTGTAGTAATGAAAGTAAGCAGCATATTTAAATGTCATGAGCTCTTCTGATTTGAAGTTACTCCTGTAATCTCTTCAGTTTCAGAAAGCACTGTTCAGTTTCTTTTGGCAGAAAAACTAGCAAGTACACCAGTTGCCGAAGATGAAATCCTGGCAGCTATGGAAAGTGTGCAACCAGCCAGGAGTGCACTTTCAATTGAAGAACAGAAGATTTTCCAGTCTCTTGATTTTCTCAATCAAAGGCTACAAAGTAAATTTGATAATAAATAGGATCCTGCATCAAGTTATTAAGTAATTTATATTTTGTTGTCATGGATTAATTTGGATTAAAAACATGAATCCTGTGATAGAAATATATTTCTTCTTATTTTCTTATTATTCTTTACTAAATGTAGCAAACGGGAGATCAAAATAATGAAATCTTTCTTAGAGTCAATGAAATTAATTTAAAATAATGGTGGCTTTGCCTTGGTCAAAAAAATAATTCAAACTGTGACTGCAAGACACCTTCAGAAACTATCTCAGCCCAACTGTAGCTGTTGTTTCTAACAGCTGTTTGTCAAAACTGTTCTTTAAAGTGTACAGATGGAGATGTATCAGCCTCACGTTGGAATCTGTTCCAGTGTTTATCCATCTTAATTTTTTGCAATTATTTTTGCAAATAATTACCCTTTATATTATACACCCTATATTTTTGCAAATATAACCCTTCATCATGAATGCCTTTTCATTTCCTTTTTTCTAGTCTTTTAGGATGTTCCTCTCACAAATACAGTTCTGAGATTGCTGCAACCAAATCTGTTTGCTTATGCGAATATCACTTGCACAACTATTTTAAAAATCTCAAACATTCCCGAGTGTCCTCTGACCTATTCTGTCTCTGTGCCAGGCTGATTTCTTACCTGCTTTACTCTAGTGCTTTTTGTGGGAGCTATCCCATCAGAGTTGACATTTTATTGAAGAATGTGGGGAAAAAGTCTGTACTTGTTCTTGATATTTTTTTCTCTCCAATGGTTAGTTAGCCAGTGCTTCAATTCATCATCCAATTATAACAGACATACTCATAGAACAAACTTACTTTTGGGGTCTATTGCCTCTGTATCTAATGGTTAGTATTTGCTTTGACCTAAATGCTTGTACAGGTCTTTCATGAAAATTCTCATTAGTTTGACATAGTTTCTGCATTTTGTGTGCTCCATCCTGTATTTGAAATCAACAGGGAGCTTGTGCCTTAGTCCACGTGGTCTCTTCACTGGACTGCTTGGCTTTCCATATCACTGGAATAACTTCTGCTTGCCATTTTTGCTGTTTATGGAATTGCCAGCTCTCCTGAATTTTATGTTTTCCTTGGACTTTTTTCATTTAAAATGTTACATGCCAATTATTTGAGTTTATGAGTCTGCTTTCTTGAAGTCCATTGATTTTATTTTACTAGTCTACTTTTTTTTTGTGGACTGCAGCATTTCATGGCCAGGTTACCCACATCTACCTCCCCACTGACTGGAATTAAACTAAACCAGGGCTTATTAAGCTCCTACACACTATCCATACGTTTCTACATCAAATGGTGGATTTCTTGACTTTGAGGAAAAAGGCTTCAGTTTCCTGTAATCTGCAACAGCAGAATAAAAGATCTTTGCAACTGCTTAGAAACTTTCTGCAGCTGTAGCTTACAATTCCTGCTCCCATCAAACAGTAGCTTAGAATTTCATTATAGCGTACCTCATGGTCATTACTTCCAGGCAAGTGAAGAACTCTGTCAGAGAGGAGTTTTAGTATGATGTGCTTGGGTTAAGAAAGTAGATATGAAAAGAGAAATACAAGAAAACAAAAAATAAATTGCTGTATAAATAACAGAAATAACAAAGAAACAGAGGCAAAGGTAAATGCAGCAAAGGAACTGGGAGCAAGAAAGCTGAAGTTTGCAAAGTGTGAAAAGGGTAACTATGAAAACTATAGAAGTCCATAAGGAATATGATAGAAACTATGAAAAACCATAGGCATTAACTGATTGTAAATGAAGTAACTGTGAAAATAAATGTAATACATACACATATGTATCTTAGAAATTTAATTAGCTTGCCTAATCATTTGGGGATTAAAATTGGTAATAAGAAGCTGTGAAATTTTACAGGTAGACTTATAGGACATGTACCTGCAAGTACGTGCCTGTAAGTAAGTAAAGTGTTGTAAGTACTTACATGTCATGTAAGTACATTGCTTTTTAAACCGTGACCTTTCTGACCCCCCTTTTTTAGCTTTGTTTTCACATGTTACCAAATTAAGTGACTAAAACTGTGTAGCTTCGGAGCAATCTTTTTAATGAATAACAGTTAGTCACTGACCAATGCAAATCTGGAATTTCTATTGCCAGCTTAGAGTAGCTGGTGTTTTTTTCTCTAGCTTTAGATTTCTTTATTGACACTAAATTTTTTGTTCAGATAATAATATCTAGCTGCAAATTTTAAAAATACAGATACAGCATACACTTCAGTTGTTGGTGGGGGAAGAAAGAACGGTGCTATTAAACTACATTTGCACAATCTTTGGGAAGTTTTGTGTTGAATATTTGACTGTGAATCATATTTCTATTGTAGTATTTGGTTTACATAATATTTATAATATATTTTTATGCTCTTTTTAGATGTTCAAGAAGCCATTACCAGAAACCCATCTGCTTCAAATGTTTTGCAGATAATCACCCCTTTAGTAAGTATTTAGTTTAAAGATGTTCAGCTTTAATTCCTACAAACCAACATTATGGCTTATTTTAATGGTAAAAATATAATTTGAAATATTGACATCAATCTGTTCAACTGGCTTGACAGATTTTCAAATTTCTATTTATGTAAAAAAAAAACCCACCCCACATATATGAACTTTATAGTACCATAAACAGGCTTTAACAGTTTATACCAGACTGCCTCAACCTGTAGCTTCATTTTCCTTTTGGAATCTGAAAGCATTTGCAAAGTCCAGGCAGTTCCAAGAACTTTTAAGGAAGAGTAATTTATTAGGGTCCATTTGAACTATACATAGCTCATAATTAATTTGTGTTTCTTAATAATATAGAGAAGAAAGGGGGTATGATGCATGGTAGTGTGTAAAATAATTGTTAATACAATTAATTCTTACTTTGGCCTGCAGATGTGTCATGTTCTATAACTGATAGGTATTGCCTTTCTTCAATAAGTGTTTGTATTTTGTTTCATGTATTCTAGATCTTGTCAGTTTGAAACAAAATAATCATGATGCCTGGAGTATGAAGAATTGAATAGGTAGATGGGTGTCTGAAGTACAAAATGTAGATGTCAAATGTTCAGTTTATAATGCAGGAGTTAGTATTTATAATTCTGTATTATCAGTCTCCTCCTTTACTGTATATTTGTACTGCGGAGAAAATATAGGCAGATGGTTGTATACTTCACATACTTTATAGACTATCACATGTTTCAAAGGCTTTCTGGATAAACTGTTACTAAAATTGTTAAATACTCTTTATGCAGAAGGTTTTTTCCGCTTACTGAGTTTGAGACTGAAAAACCCCACAAAGTATCCAGGCTCCTAAATTCAAAATGATTGCCTGGTTTTGAAGTGAGAGTGTGAAAAGAACACAGAGCACATCATTACCTCTCTTCTTGTGAATCCTAGTAGCAGGTGTGACTTGGAACCTCAGCTTCCTGTCTTCTGCCTCCTGTCTTACAAATTTAATTCTTTATGGCTAAACAATTTGTAAATTTTGTATTTTTCAGCAACTGGTGTAGCATAGCTACCTTTATTGGATCTAGCTGTTTTACTAAAGCATTTCTGAGCATGTATGTTCTCTGGAGCCTGTCCTACTTGAAAAAACAAAACAAACAAACAAAAACCCCACAACCAAAAAACCCCCTGTTCCCCCCACCAATGCATCTTCCTGGCTTTCAATAGTCAGACTTCTTGGCTGGCTGGTCTATGACAAAGACATGTCCCTTTGCTTAGGGACATGGTTTAGTTGGAGATTTGTCAGTGTGAGGTTAATGACTGGACTCAATGATCTTTTCCAATCTAGGCTGTTCTGTGATTCTGTGAAAGCTTTCTCCCACTGATTCTTCATCTACAAGATTTACGTTTCGTGAATAAAATATAAACAATAGATGTTACTCAGACTGGCCAATCTCTGGAAGTTTGATGATGGACATTTCATAGAATCATAGAATGGTTTGGGGTCGAAAGGACCTTAAAGATCATCTAGTTCCAACTGCCCTGCCATCAGCAGGGACACCTTCCACTAGACCAGGTTGTTCAAAGCCTCATCCAGCCTGGCCTTGAACACTTCCAGGGAGGGGGCAGCCACAGCTTCTCTGGGCAACCTGTTCCAGTGTCTGACCACCCTCACAGTGAAGAATTTCTTCTTAATATCTAATCTAAACCTGCCCTCTTTCAGTTTGAAGCCATTTCCCCTTATTTCATTTAAGCCATTTAAGATCATTCTTTCCTCAAGTATACGCTTAAGCATTTCAACAGGTGTCCAGCTGTAGATAAACGTTCAGATCTCAGGCACTGGTTTGGAATGCTTCTTGATGATAAGAGTGAACAACTGCCATACAAGTTCCCAGCTGCAGAAGTATAGGTGACTGAGATTTTGTCAAATCTTCTGCTCTGAAAAGTGGTGGGATTTTAAGTGTTTACTTCACCAAGAGAACAACCTGCTTCAGCTCTCCTAGTTTCAGAGCATCCAAATAAAGTAAGGATATTCACTCAGTAATTCGTGTGAATGACATTGTACCCTGTAATACCAACCTCTAAATCCAGATGAAGGTGCACAGTTGTTTATCTAATGGAAAACAGATCACATGATATAATCAAATTATGTTTCTTGCATGTTAATAATCTAACTTGATCACATTTCTGTTTATATGCATGTATATCTCATTATTCTCCATTTTATTATAGAGTATTCAGCAATGTACCTCCTCCCCTTTGGCAAGCACTACAGCAGCCTCACAGCAGTGCCAGAATGCCTCAGCCCACAATCGACTGCAGTTGTACAGGAGATATTGACATTAGCTTGATGTACTTTATATGTAATGTATATACTATTTGACACTATTAAATTAGCAACAAAATAAAGTGGAAAGCAGTAGCTCAAATAATGAATGTCAACTGACTGGTAAGCATTTTTAGGATAATTAAGTCTATTTTACTATGCACTGTGTCGTAAAATCAAAAGAATGAAAATACTTCACATTTTTACTGTTTGTATTGATTGTGTAGATTTCCTGTACCCATAATTCAGGTGAAAGGACAAAAAATATTTTGCTGCTTAGATTATCTGTAAACCACTTTCCTAATTTCTCAAGATTTTAAGATTCACTAATAGATTCTATTACAATTGTAAAAGATATATTTTTAAAGTTACTTGATTACCAGTAAATAATACATGGAGTTTCACCTTTTATCTTTATATTGGTGGCTGTCTTACAAATTACTGCAGACTGTGTTTTGCCCTTAGTCAGTAGCTACATCTGATGGCTCTAAAACTAACTGTGCTCCCAACGTCATACTTCTCCTAGCCTACGCTCGTGCAGGTCTTGTTCAATTTGTTAGAGATTCCTGTTCTCCAGATTTTCCCGACAATGTTTATGAACACTTGCACTTAAAGAGCAATTCTTCCTCAGCTCCTCATGTAAAGAACCCCAGGCTGAAACTGTCAGGAAATTAGAAAGAAAGGTGCTTTGGAAGGAAATGTACAACTCATGGTATGTAGATGCACTTTCACTGAAGTACACAGGGAAACCTCTCCACTTCAGTGTCAGCTTTAGGCTAAAACAGCGATTGTAGAAACACAAAACCATAAGCACCCAGCTAGCTCATCAGCAAAAGCTGTTTTTTGGTTTTCCTGATTGGCTTTACCTTTGTAATCCATAATACGCAGTCTCTGCATAAAAGGAAGCAAAGCGGGGACAACAGGCCTGGAGATGAGACTTCCATTCCTGTGTTTAAGATACCCAGATGGAGCTAACTATTAATATATTCTGCAGCAGGGCATACGTAGTCCAAGAACGCGTCTAAGCGTCTGTCTGCAGAGCTAGAGATGCACTTGCAGTTTTCTTTGCAAGTGTTTATTTTGGAGAGAGAGGTTGGTTTTGGCAGTCTGGGACTGGCAGGTTAGACACTGGTCCCTCAACTTTAAATTCATCTGTAGCACGATGATTAACATGTCAACAGATTTTACATGTTTGGTGATAAATCTGTCTGCATTGTTATGTCAGTTCTAGATTAAAAGCCTTTTCTTAGTTAATTAGCATAATACCTAAATCTGTGAAGTTAGTTAAATGCTAAGGAGTGGTAACTTTTTAACTTCCTCTCTTTTTCTCTTCCTCTGCTGTTTCTGTACAAAGTAGATAAACATTGAAACAAGCTGTAGAATGCACAGAATCAGTCAACAAATCTAAGATGGTAATTAGCTGAAATAAGCAATAAAAGCAATTTACTAAATCTCTGTATTTTTAACTCCATATTAGATGCCTGATTTTCTGTTCATAGCTATACAGTAAGGATTGTGGGGTTGGTCTGGGAACTTAAGCACTACCGTATTTCTATCAGAGACATGCCTGAACCCCACACAGTGTCATTGGTCTTGGTTAAAGTGCCTGGGAGCTTAGGAGAGTTGTATTTCAGGAGCGGGCTCGGTGCTGTACCATGGGAACATGCACCCACAGGGACTCTGGCATTTCTCTGAATAGAATGCATCTTCCCAAAATAAGCAATCACATTATTATTTGGCAAAAGTATATGTTAAATTGTATTATTCTTCATCACACCAAGATCACCCTACCGTTATCTTTAATAAGTGCTGTCATTGCTTAGGAGGGAACCAGCCTGTAAAAAGGAGAGAAGAGGAAAACATGCCCATCACAACAATAGACAATTTATCAGGGGATTAGAGCTACCTGCTGGGGAGCGATGTCAGCCGAGATTGAGGCAAGCTGCGTAAGTAGCAAATAGTCAGC